GGAGTTCTTTTTGATCCCTTGAACCTCTCGAAAGACCCAGCAGCTTTTGAGGAATTGAAAGTAAAAGAGATAAAAAATGGGCGTTTAGCTATGGTTGCATGGCTAGGCTTCTACGTCCAAGCAGCTTTGACAGGTAAAGGTCCAATACAAAACTTTCTTGATCATATCTCAGACCCATTTCACAATAATCTGTTAGCAATATTCAAACTTGTGTAAAGCATTCTTTTTAAAATGTATATATACTGCTCAACATCTATAGTCAACATCCAAGTTATCAGTTTGTTTTTCTTTTCGAGTCAATTTATCTTGTGCTGGTGTTATTATTAGAAGTAATGTTGCATTAACAGTTTTGATATACGAGATGGTTCATAGCTAGAAAAAACATGGTACTTGATTTCATACTAAATTTTCAAAACCAGTGGGAACACAAGAAAGCCAGAATTAGAGTTAAAATTGTTTCTTGGTTAGCTGGTTAAATCATGCTTGGTACGTTGACTGTTCTAAAATTGATAATACTTAAAGTTCTGAGATTGACAAGGCTCAGCACTTAATGAGCAAATATAATTACTTATATAGAACAAATAATCTTCAAAAAACAATATACACTTATTAAAAATTAAAAATTCTCCTTCCCACATAAATAGTATTTCAGTATTATTCACTGGTATATTATGATATTAACTGTATATGTAAAAAGAAGAGAAAATTACATCTCTTATGAAGAACAAAAATAAATAACAAACTTAATTATAAGTCGTCTCATGATCTTTAATTAGTGCATGCACTGAGAATTTATACTCCACAGATTTATAGTGCTGGAGGATATAGTTTGTGGGTGTATAATATGTTGTAGTCTACTGATGATCAGTACCCTCCAAGGAGGTGACAACAATTATAAACTCCAAATTTTCATCATGAGCACCCTGATTTTTTTCCCTATTTGTTCTTTTGAATTTAAAGGACCACGTGCAGCTTTCTCACTGGTGGAAGTAGATACATTTGTGATTTGTATCGTTATATACACATATATAGATACATTCTATAATTTCACTCCCTCTCTGATGTAGTGTTTGTGCATACATGAACACCAAAATATTTTTGATTGGTTTAGTCTCTACATGTCATGAGTATTAGTATTTGAAGCACAATATATTAAAGAAAGGTAATATATTAAGAGAAGTTTCCAGCACTCTTATTTAATAATGGCTGCACTTCTGATTCACTGCAAAATGGATCCTAATGCTAGTTCTTGGTTGGAAGGGAAACAAAAGAAAAAAAAAAAAAAAAAACTTAATGAAGTATTATTCATCACAAATTTAAAATGGGTAGTTATGTTTTCTTTTCTTTTTGTTTTTGGGAATTTTATGGTGGCAACAAATACCATTTTGCATGCAAATCAAAATTAAGTAACCCAGAAAGTTCAACAAGACAAAAACAAAAAACAAAAGTTTATGTGATTTAATCAAAGTGACTTATTTCCTTTAGATATACTATAAGAGAATCTAAATGACACTACAATATGTCTATCTTATGTTCAAAGACTAGTTCTACCACATTCATATCTCAGAAAGTAACCCATATTATTTACAAGTACTCAAAATACATATGGGGTTAATGTGAAATTAATGATTAAGATATTCCATATGTAGAGATATAGTAAGTGAAAATGGAGAGTTTTGGTGTTTTGACGATTTGGAATTTTGAGATGTTTATGGGAGATGATATGATGTGGTTGGTGCAACAGTTATATTCAAGTGTAGTAACAGACATAGTGGGTAGCAAGAGATAATGTTTTGCAGAGTAAACCTGGCAAAAACCCACTTTGCTCTTTCAAAGTTTTCTGAATCCTCCATTGAAATTCCACCATACCCCACCACACAAAAGGAAATTAGAAAAGGAAAAAAGCCAAGCCCACAAGGTTGAAATTGCAATCTATTCCCATTCCCCATTACTCCTTTTCATACTCCAGTTTCATAAGCCATCATTACCCTCCATGCAATCCTCAACTTATTTACATACATACATATATATATATATATTAGCTTTATCTTAAACTAAAAAGTTTGTCATCAAAGGTTAAACTCGTTCTTTCCTCATCAAAACCAGACAATTCTGAAACATTGGGTTCTTTGGTAATCCTGAGAGTCACAAATTTATGAGGCAACATTCCATTATGTGCATGTGATGGTCTAAATCTCAAAATTAAACCCCAGCAAGCCGCAGCAAATCTTCTTCTATTTTTTCTCTCTGGTGGCTGCAAGAATGGGAGTTGTACCAAAACTGGTTTCTATCCTCACATGTATAATTACTGTTGTAATTGTTCTTGTCATACCATTTGTTAGCTCCTCTCAAGAAGAACCCAAAACTTTGGCCACACATGCAAGCGGAAGCAAGGATGTTGTTGACAGGGTAATTCCATTTTTGTCTTATATATATGTATATATAATATGTATATAAACATTGTTATTTACTCTTAGTTATGTCATATACTGTTGTTTTATTGAGATTATTTGTAGACAATGAGTCCTAAACTGCAATCTGAAGTCACACTCCATGGATTCCTCCTCTGGGCTTCAATGGGTTTCCTGACGCCAGTAGGAATCCTGGCAATCAGAATGTCAAACAGAGAATGTGGAGGAAGAAGGCTAAAAATCCTTTTCTATGTTCATACCATTTCACAGGTAAGTTCATCCTCTCTGCCTATCATCAAGCTGTTTCTTTTTCTTTTTGGGTTTCCTTTTTTCTAGAGAAAACATTTAACTACATATATGCTGTTTATATGATTTTTAATTTGTTTAATCAGAAAGAAGCATCCAAACACCTGAGGCTTTAACAATGGTGAAAAAAGATGTTAAAAGTAAATTACAGTTTGTTTATACATGACTTTTGGGAGTAGTTAACATCAACTAAACTTTTATTTATGTGCTTTCAAGTTGATCTAACAAGACTATCATGAATACTTGAGGCACAAGTAAAGAAAATGAGTATATACACATCTCTATTGGCTTTGTCAATATTGTGCAAGTTTTTAGTCTTATATATTGTGATTAAATAAGTATAAAAAACATTTCAACACAAATTCCTGCAAAAAGGAACTATTCTTGCTTATATCTCAATATGACTGGTAATAGGCTTGAACCAAGAACAGTAAATATCGCGCAAACTGAATATTCGAGCAGCACGGAAGAAGCTTATGATCACGCCTAAAGAGAATTAACTACAAATGCTAGTCCACATTTTAAAAAGGGAATGTATGAACATAATTAATGCATCATGTCTTGATTAGTCCAATCAAAGTTCAACCAGACTAAAGATATATACAGGTTATTCTATATATCCAAGTGAACCCATATCTATATATATTTTCCTGTCGTATTACATGGGTAAAAAGTTATTATATTGAAAAGAAAAGTTGTAATTTTGTGAGAACAGATAGTTGCTGCACTTCTTGTAACAGCAGGAGCAGTAATGTCCATAAAAAACTTCAACAACTCTTTCAACAATCATCACCAGAGAATAGGAGTAGCCCTTTATGGCATCATATGGTTGCAAGTCCTACTAGGTTTTGTAAGGCCAAGCAGGTAACAGTCCAGACTAATATATATATGGATGAGTGAATGAATCAAAATTAATCTGAGAAGATTTTGGTGTATATATATACAGGGGATGCAAAGGGAGAAGTGGGTGGTTTTTGGCACACTGGTTGATGGGAAGTGCAATGACAGTGCTGGGAATAATCAATACATACACTGGTTTGGAAGCATACCATGAAAAAACATCAACAAGTATAAAGCTTTGGAGTATACTTTTCACTTGTCAAATTTCCTTTATTGCTTTTCTTTACCTCTTTCAAGACAAGTGGCCCTACATACAAATTCAGGGAGTGATTTCAGGCAATCTCCAACCTAATCACAACCACAAAGAATCTGGCACCGACCCTTGTTAAATCTCTATTAACTTTTAATTTAACATATATATACTTAACATGGAATTCTTTAATCGCTATCTTCTTCCCCTTGTATTTTCTTCTTTAAGTTGCAAGGATTACCACAAAATTTTACGGACTGAAATCGGGAATTCCCAATATTTCTATGTAATAAGATAATGTAAGTTTCGGCATATGTCTCCTCCACAACATAGTCCTCATCCTCAGAATCTTCCTCGTCGAAAAACCCAGAACGAGTAGACTTCATCGTGTATGAATACTCTTCATTCATGAAACGTCGGTGATGCTTTTTTCTCTTAAAAAAAAGTTATTTCACTCTTTTTTTCATATACTTTGTAAGGCAAATTATATGGAAGGGCATTAATTTGCTTCGTCTATAACGTTTTTATTTGCTGTACATCATAATCTAATAATTTCAACAATTAAGCTAAATGAAAATCCATGGTTAAAATATATATGATGAAATATGAGGATTAAGTCATATCCTAAATGGCTTTGTAATGATAAGATTAAAGACTAGTTCTTTATATCCATACATATATATAATAATAGTAATAATAAGATTTGTAGTGGTTACAAAAAGATTATGGTTAACTAATTAACATAATTGAACAAAATCATATGATGGTCTTGACTAACAACTCATGACCCCACTTAGAAGTTCATAGACATGAGAATGCAAAAATGTCAAACCTAGAATTCTCGAAACAAGATAGGGTTAAAGGCTGTCTCTAGTAACAAAAATTTGAATTTAATTATTAAAAAAAATTACATTATTTTAACTGTGATATGAGATTATACAAATTATGAAATTAACTTCCTAATCGAGTTTAAATACAGTCGAGATAAACATCCGTTTATTCCACGTAGAAACCTTGAGAATTTCTCTAGTTTTTCAAACAATTCACACCATAATTTAGCAACACAGGACAATGTTCTTTTTTTTTCTTTTTTTTTTAAACATGAAATAACAGTATGGTCTGACCTAGACATAAAAATTAATGAGAGAAAAAGGGTAAAACAAGCTTGACATAGTAATAACACAAAATGGCTCCTATTATCTTTTTGAAAACCTAATTTACTTCAAATTGAATTAAAAATAATTGAATATATTCCACAATTGATTCCTTCTTTGATAAAGTGGCACTCCTTACCTTAAGTCAAATACCCTCTTGCAAATTTCAATGTCCATGGAGAAAAATCATACACCTCGTACGGTTGAAAACTGGAACTCTGTTTTCAGGCAGGTGAAAACTGAAGGGCAAAGGAAAAGAAAAAAGATATGAGAGAGTGTTACATGTTATGTATATAATGTGATGTCTTCCTGCAGGGAAAATCCTCAAGGATGTCTTGTCAGCTTTATCAACCTATGGTAGACAACACTGAGCAGAATATACACTCTCTTTTTGTTATGTATGTATATTTCATAAAAAGTATATGTATATGCATATGAATATCATGGAAACAGTTGCACATAACCTGTTAGTATGGCAATGCCTAATATTACAAAAGGTGGAAGGATTACGAATGCACCAATTGTAGCAAAGAAAACTGAGTCATTCCTCTGAGAGACTTCATCCATGTATGATTGTCTTCTGATGTTTCTCTTCTGAGAAACAGTTAAGAACTTGGCACTCACTTTCTTTAGGTTTTTGCCCAATGGAATGCTGAAATCATCATCTCTCTCCCCGACCAACTGTGCCAGCTGCTGACGGATTGTCAGTCTCTGAGAGCTGCCATCGCTCTCATAACCTGTTCATCCAGTATTTTAATTTGAATGAATATGCGGCAACATGGCTGGTATGCACAATAGTGTTTCGCTCTTTTAGTCTATGTCCGGAATGACCTCAGATATTTTATGGAATTCATATATCAATTTGTTCTTAGTTTAATCGTAAGTGAAATGCAAATCTTTTAGAAGATAGTAAAAATTAATGATTCAAATTAGTTTCTATCATTTTAAGGACGATTTTCACAAATTTCTAGTTAAACCAAGTACAGGTTTACAAATGAACTTTACAAAATTTTTTTGTTTGTTCCAAGCAAATCCTTTGTCTGATTTCCCCAGGAAAACTAAGACATTCTATCATCTCATTCGAGAAAGTATAATATTAACCACTTTCCTTTATTTTTCCATTATTGGCCAAGAGGATATGATTGAGAAACGGTACTAATGAACAGATTCAGAGAAGGGGAGTTTCCTCTTTTCATTCGAAAGTTTACATAGGAATATATGTGCCGTACGTGTAATAAGATAACAATAAAGATATTAAAAAATTCAAATACACAAGTTTTTAAGTACTGATATGCTAGATAAATTCATATCTCTAAGTCCTATCCACTACAACATTCAGGTGAGAATGAAGATTACTTACCATCGATTCTGTAAAGAAAGTGATAGCTTACTTACAATCAATCTCCAAAATAAAAATAATAATAATAATAATAATAAAAATAAGACTACTTACCATCAATCACAGAGGTAGTGGAAGTGAGTTGCTCCAAGAGATCCAGCTGAGTGCGTGCAGAAGACAAAGAACCTTGAAGGAAAAAAACAGAGTATCAGAAGTGCCTCATCAATCAATAGTCAGAGCTTGCCTTTTCAATCAACAACCATATTCCAAAAATCACATGAATTATTATGCATCAGTAAGTAGTAGTAATGAACTTAACGAGAGGATCTCGAAACAAGCAGCAAAAATAGTGACATAGAAGTTGGAGAACTAATTGGTGTTATATCACCTATTTAAGATGACCTTCCTGGCCTCTCTTTGGGCTAAAGCTTATGGGAAGTACTTGGGGATCTCTTTTTCTATTCTACATACGAGTTGGGGTGCCTTGATCTTGTGACAAGTTATCTGTTTCTATAACTAATGTTTTGTTTTCCGTGTTTTGTGTTTCATTGTATTTCGTTTCCCAGCTGGATAACTTATCTGCACTAATATTCATTTTGTGTCACCTTTCTCAGTAATACTTCTTTTTCTATCAAAAAAAGATGTTACCACCTTTTGAAAAGTCTATATGCGAAATGTGAAATAAGTAGCAGGCTTTATCAATTGCTAAACTCCTTGCTTTACTTGACTGTTCTCTTTATATCAAAGCTTGGGGCTATCTTTCTTTTGTTAACTTAAAACTAACAAAGAAGTCAATCTTGTGTTTATTTTTATTATTATTATTTGAGAGAAAAAGAAGGATTTATTATAAATACCAAGGTGGCACAGTACGGATACAAAGACAGAGTTTACAAGTCAATCAAGATATCTATGATGTACCTCAATCTTCTGCTAATGAAGCAGATTGCCTCTAAACAGAAAACAAAGGGTCCAAAACTGAACATTTCGCACTCTATCAAAAGAATAAGAAATATTCTCAAAGGTTATAACCGACAGAGTAGCATGATGAATAAGAGAAATAAATATAAATCTTCAACTAAATGTAAACCTCAGATTCCAGTATCATCCAAAACCGAATTCTCATCCACTGCTGAGCTTGAACTATATATAAACCTAAAATCCTTCCAGTCTTACCAATCCACCTCCAAAGACTAGTGCCATATGAACCCTTAGACTTTTAGTCTTTCAACCCCTTTTCTCCAGCCTATACTTTGACCTAATTCCCTGCCGCCACAAGCAGTCCTGTTCAGTCATAAATTTTCAAATGTTAAAACTCACCAAAGACTTGATACCAAGTCCATCCATTTTATGAGGATGTTTAACTACATCCCAAGCCACCAAAGGGAGTCTCTTTGATCATCTGAGTCAACCCATCAAAACCGATGTTGGATGGCCTTCAATCTTTTAGCAACACTGACTGTTTAAAGGAAGAATAAACAAGTTGAGCCTGCCTAACAAAACTATAGTAATAAGTTTGTAAATGCATCCAACAATGCTTATACAACAAAAATCATTATTATTGGTGGCATCAGAAGTCTCCAAATCAGGGTAAAGAAATTTAACTTCAAACTATTAATAAAAGTCCCCTTCCCAAAGGACTCCAACAGAAGAAGAACATCATGTTTTACTAGTTCTCAATAACTCTGCAGAGAAGCTGTAGAATAGCCATTAGGTAAAGGGCTTCATCACTCTTAAAGCTCATCAAGGCAGCAAGGATCTCTTCTTCTGAAAACAGTTTCTCAATCCACTTCTTGTCCCCCAGGTTAATAGAAGCAAATACCTCATATATATGCCAGCAAACCAATCCTTCGCAGCTTCCTTCAAGCCATTGCCAATATTAAAAGCTCCTGCCCTGCTTCCAGCCTCTCTACAAAAATGCATATCCTGTGATGAGAAGCAAGTCTATGAAAGAAGCTTATGTTTCTGACCACTCCTTCACCCGCAAAGTCCTGAACTTTGTCTCCAAGCAATATTCTCCTAGCAATTTAAAATTAGCATTTCCCACCCCAAATTTTCCCTTCTCCTACCTTCGCCGATTGAACAGGTGGTTCTTAGTTTTTGCTATCCAACTTTAGGTGTCATTTTTCCAACTTATCTGTACATTGTCCACACGCTTTCATTAAGAAACATACATAATATTTAAAATGAAAACAGAAAGCTGTTCCTTCTTGGAACTTCACAACCTGAAATATCAATGTAAGATGTCGTGCACCATTAAATAAAAGAAGGAAGTAAATAAATTTTGTTAAACACTTTGCCTGTTTGGTATTTGTATTATAGTCTAGCAGATCAAAACTAGTCTAAGCATAGGTATCCATATCCTCCTAGTTTCCTAGCGTGATCAGATTCAAACATATTCAACTGCCAAATGTCTAGCATGTCTACAAACAACGAATGAACTAGCTTCTTTCTGGTAATGTGTGCTTGGACTGGGGAAGATGCAAAAACAAAAACTACTCATATAAAAACACACAATAGAAATTAAAAGTGTAAACATACCGGCGGCCGTCAAAGAATCAGGAGGGTCCTCCTCCGTAACTCCCCCTTCCTTCTTCTCAGATTGAGCAAATGTTCTAGAAGGAGATGTACAGTATGACGGAGGGCAGAGTGCTTTAAATTTGGGAATAAAAAACAGAGTAGAAGAGGAAGAAGAAAAAGAAGAAAAAGAAGAATGTTTTGGGTGAAAAAACGCTACACTGAAATTCAACGCCATTACGAGTTTCCGAAACCTTGCATTTTCTGGGGTGTGGGTTCAGTTATTAATTTCACCAATCAGTCCAACTTGAGGACAAATGTTTTTTGGGGAATATATGTGTCTGTGTATATATGTGTGTATATATATATATATATATCTGTTCTCTCCTCCACATATTTCTTGAGGCCATGAATAAGCTGCTCTAATTCTCTGCAGCCACACCCACTGAAGCTAAAAGAATCAATCTATATAATATAACCATCGCCAATCACATTTGATAGTGCTAAAAAAGCAATTTTTATTTTTGAATGATTAAAGTTCTTTTTTTTTTTTTAATAAATATTCTGGGATATCCAAATCATTGAAACCAGAAGGTCAATAAGGTAATTTCATCAAAACATACAACATGAAGAAATATGACCGTTGGGGTTTTACAAATTCAGGCGTTTCAAGTTGGCGTCCCATCTCAACAGGAACTTGGTATCAGATTCCTGTACTACTTTCCACACTACCAAAAACCCTACAGTCAAGCCAAGCAAAAACCTTTCTACAGAGGTTCCTCTGCATTTCTCTCCGTTTCAACCCAGAAATACAAATTAAGAAGAGGGGAGAAGGAAGGTAGTGTTTTCAGTTTCCATGGCGACGAGCAGATCGGAGGGAGAGGAGGAGCAGGAAGAAGTTGTGAAAGAGGAAGCTCATCCCTATGCATTTCACATTTCTGGACCTCGAAATGTCGCTTCTCCTAATTGGAGAGATCTTATCAACTCAAGTTGGTCTGTGCTCATTTTTATTTTTTTTTCTTCTTCCTGTTCTGGTCTCAATTGGTTCTTGAATTTTGTTAGGGCAACTTCAACTCAAATTAGCTTGCTTCTACCCATTTGGGTTTTATTTCAAATCAATGGTTTTTTTTCTCTTCCCACTCTTACTTTTCTGTTTCTTTTGATTCTTGAAATAAGTTTAGCTATTGAATTTCACTGGTTAAACTCCTTTAGGTGAAAAGGCAGATTCAAGAGATTCAGAAAAAGAATGCCCAGAAGAAACATTTTTGAAAAATGAGTGAATTAGGGTTCATGAACTCTTTCTGGGGATCTTCTAAATCCCACTTGACTTTCTGTAGTTGAAGACGAGATGGGTCATACTTTGTCATATGAAATTTTGCTAGACCCATTACAGAAATCAGGTGTTAATCTTTGTATCAAATTAGGGAATTTTCAGTTCCTACATTCTAGATTCGACCTTGTCTATTTTGGGCAACTTTCTCTTATCCTGAACTTATGATCTGAATCAAGTCTTCAGAACTTGCACTTTCCTGAAATTAGGGTCATAACTACAGGATTTTTGAAATTTTCCCTAATAATTGAATTGGCAGAACTTTCCAAATGTGGGCCAAGAAATCAATAAAAAGATTTTGATTGATTTCTTGATTCCAAATAGGAAAATTGTCGAGGTCCAAATATCTTTGACTCATGGTTCATTTATTGATTAAAAGTTTCTGCTGTTTGTATACAATCTCTTTGCAAAAATAAACAAGTGTTTCTCCAGATGCATAATCATTCTTCCCCATGTCTGTCAGTTATAAGCTTCATTGATAAAACACTGTTTGGGTGGGATCTGTTGTGTTTTAAGTAGGGTTCTTTGGTAGAATTTAATAGTATAAATCTCCATTTTCACGGATTATTATATGTATATATATGTAGGAAGGACGCAAACTACAAGAGAACTGTAATAGCCTGCTTCATTCAGTCAGTTTATTTGCTTGAGCTTGATAGACAGGAAAACAGAACAGATGAAACAGCTCTAGCTCCAAAATGGTGGATACCTTTCAAGTACAGGGTAGCTCAAACTCTTATCGACGAAAGAGATGGATCCATATTTGGAGCAGTTCTTGAATGGGACAGAGCGGCTGCATTGGCTGATTTAGTACTCATTAGACCCAGTGGAGCACCAAAGGCTGTTCTAGCACTTCGAGGAACAGTACTGAAAGGCCCAACAATCAGAAGGGACATTGAAGATGACCTGCGGTTTCTTGCTTGGGAAAGCCTGAGGGGTTCTGTGAGATTTAAGGTGGCATTAGAGGCACTGAGATCAGTTGCTGAAAGACATGGAAGCAGTAATGTATGTATAGCAGGTCATTCGTTGGGTGCTGGATTTGCACTCCAGGTGGGTAAAGCATTGGCTAAAGATGGGATATATGTGGATGCTCATTTATTTAACCCACCATCTATTTCTCTGGCTATGAGCTTAAGAAATATCGGAGAAAAAGCCGGGTTTGTTTGGAAAAGATTTAAATCGATGCTTCCATCGAGTAGTGAAGGTCAAGCAAATATCGATGCCAATGATGTGGGAGAGAAGACTAGTGTAGGATTCAGGAATTGGGTCCCTAATTTCTATGGAGATAAAACTTCTGTAGCCTTGAGAAAGTGGGTTCCTCATCTATATGTGAATAACAGTGACTACATCTGTTGTTATTACTCTGAGCTTGATGGAAGACAGAATGAGAAAGATGACAACAAAGAGAACATAAGTGATTCAAATCGGCAAGCTGCAGCGAAGCTGTTTGTGATGTCAAAGGGGAAACAGAAGTTTCTGGAGGCTCATGGATTAGAGCAATGGTGGTCTGATAATTCAGAACTTCAACTGGCTCTGCATGATAGTAAGCTGATTAGCAGGCAGCTGAAATCCTTGTATAGCCCACCAGCTCAGCAGCAAAATCAAGGAAAATCACAGTAGAGAAGAGGAGGGAATGAGAGAGATGGACAGAGATCTAGTTTTGTTTGCTTCCTGAACAATTTACTACTAGTCTCTTATTCCTTCTGTCTTTTCTTTCTGGTTTTTGGTAATCTGCATTCTGTATCCATTGATAGGCTTTCTCAGTTGTTTGATTTCAAATGTGAATCAGCAAATGTTCATATAAAAAAGAAACTATGTGGATCATACAATGGCTTTAATGATGGATAATGGTAACTTCTCATACACAGTCAATGTTGCCCTCACACATTCAATGGCTTTAATGATTGAAGTTTATATATATATATATATAAACATATATATATTCTTTAATTATTATTACTTTGTCTCATAATTTATCCTTGCTTCTTAGTTTGTCAAATCCATAAGCTCATCGGGTTTTAGGAATGGCAAGATCATCTGATCCTAATTGCATTTGGAATGAAACTGAAAAAGGCCTCTGCTAATCTTATTCATTAAATTCAAAAATAATCACGAGCTCAGTAATACAACATCTTCTAAGTTATATATATATATATGTATATATACACACATATATACTTAAAAATAATCACGAACTCAGGATTACAACATCTTCTAAGTTATATATATGTGTATATATACATATACGTATATGTATACACAATCAAGACAATTTCCATGGATTTAAGTAGAATTTTATTCGGTTGATTAAACTGAAAAAATGAATTTCGAAGTAAATTACAGAGAAAATTTTCATTTGTTCCTAACAGAGCCTAGAAAGTTAACAGAGAAAAAAGAATAGAGGAATCAGAGCAAGAAGTAAGAATTTGAGAACAAGAAAAGATCAAAAGTGGCAGCCACAGCAAAGGAAGAAGAAGCAGAGAGTTGAGACAAGAACGATGGCTTCAACGACGTACAGTACTCTGAAGATCACATTGTCTACCAGCTTCATCTGAAAATCCAATCCCTTCCGTTTCAAACCACGAATCTTCCATGGCCTCATCCCTACCTTCCTCAACCACCACCGCTTCTCTCCCATCTCTCTCTCTCTCTATATATATATACACACACACACAATAGATGTGTGCTGAGCTTCAACAATGCACAGATTGATATTCTGGTTGTTGATATATATATATATATATATACAGCGAGAGCGGAATACAATGCACTTCGATTTCTCCAAAACAAAAAAGATTGGACGTTGCTGGCACAAAACACACCGGCCTGTGACTTTAATTTTTTTATTATTATTTTTTTAGAAACCAGATTTCTTTAATTATTCTTCTTCTAATCATCATTAGTTTAAGAAAATTAATGAATTAAAAATGTGATTAAATTAACTTTTCACACCTCATTATTTAGCCACTGCAAATTTACTTTAAAAAATCCATCATTAAATTTTTAATTAAGATTATATTTAAAATAAATTGAAAAATAATATAAATTTATATTAACATAATTTATAATTAAATTTAATTACAGTTGTTATTAAAAAAATTAAGATAATTAATTAATTAGGAACGGGAGTTCCGTTGAGCAAAGTTGAGGACAAACACTTGATGACGGTTCGATGGGTGGACTCCAATTGCCATCAAACGGTAAGGAACGACTTTTTGACTTTTTGACTTTTTGACCGTTACGTCTTCGATACTCTTTGTCCAAATCACTTAACGGCTATATTACTTAATTCTCATTTAATTTAGATTTATTTATCTATTAATTTTTTTAAAATATGTTTTCATTTATAATTTTTATGTTTTTATTATTTTTAATCTCATTTTAAATTCAAATTGACCCAAAAAAAATTTATTTAACAAACGTAGTTTTAAATTTTATTCAATTGAGTGTTTTATTTTTTAATTTTAAGTAATTAAATAAATGTTTGATGTTTTAGATTGTATATAATTAAATTCACCAAATTTTAATTATAAATTGGTAAATAGTATTTGAATAAATTAGTATTAAATATTACTTTGTAAGATATTATAAAATTAAGATGTTAAAATAGTATTAATATTTAATAATTAAATATATCTTATATGATATCTACTAATTGAATAGTATTAAATACTATATTATAAAGTACATGATAATCAAATACTATCACGGCTAATAATTTGATAACACTAGGCATTAATTAATATGATTCATAGTAAGTAATTATTATTAGTAATTATCTCATATAATATATGGTAATTGGTAACTAAACAATATTAGGTATTATTTCACTATTTGGACATCTAAAAATAACTATTATATGACTCATTTATCTTGATATATAACTTTCAATTAGAAAAAATTACGTAGATATTTTACGAAAAATGTGTATCTAGATGCAGTTTATATAGTACTTAAGAGATGAATTTAGTTATAACAATTTAGTATGTGATTAAAAGTTGATAAAACTCAATAAAAATAGATAAATTGCTCGTATTTATATTATTTTTAATCTCGTTTTAAATTTAATTTGTCTAAAATAAAGAAATCCCCTTTTAAATTTTGTTCAATTGAGTGTTTTATTTTTTAATTTTAAGTAATTAAATAAATATTGGATATTTTAGATTGTATCTATTAAGTGTTTAATGTTTTAGATTAATTATAATTAAATGCACTTTGAGCTTTGGGTTTGATTAATGGGTTTTTGGATTTGACTTTGAAATTAACTCAAAATTAGAATGTGTTTCACATTTGGAATTTAAATTCTAAGAACTAAAATTAGAACACATTTCCCTCATTTTTGTTGATTTTGCTCTTTCCATTTTTCAAATTCACTTTATCATATCTTATTAATAATTAGTTTTTTTAATTCTTTTAATTTTTTATGTTTTTTTTTTTTTTACTTTTTCGTTTATATCAAAAGAAGATGAATGGATGGAAGAATGAAAATCTGTCAACGTTAATGCCTCATTTAGAAGTATTTGATTTGACATTATCCAAAACATAAATGACGAAGATCTAAGTTGTAACATATACAATTTTTTTTTAGAATTAAAAATTAATAAATATGAATTTTTATTTTTATTTTTATTTTGTACTATTCTATTTTGTTTTATTTAATTTAGAGTAAAAAATAGAATAAAATATAATGAGGATTTAATTAAAAATAAGTTTGAGAAAATTGTGTGAAAATTTAAGTTTTGATGGTATTTTTGAAAGAAAAATCAGAAAACAGGAGTCAAAACGTAATTTTAGAAAGTTTTATCACGTCAGACGCTGAGTTAGCAGCCTTGACCAACCAAGACGCGCCAAGTGGTAGAGGTGCTGACGCGGGGGCAAGGAGGGGCCATGTGGGCGATCCGTGTACGCGCGATCGAACGACTGAGCTTCGTTTCCGCGCGCATGGACGGCTCGGATGAACTCTCTCCTGAACGAAATCGGAGGGCCAGATTCAAAAGCGATCGGATGGCCCGGAGTGAATTGCGATGGACGCCCAGATTAGATCCCGATGAACGGTCCAGATTCACTCCCTATTTAATCGCGATTGGACGATCCAGATCAAACGCGATGGACGACCAGATAAAAAACGAATCGATATAAATAACCCCCATCCGCACCAAACCCTAACCCTAGCCGCCAGAATCCCTCGCCGGAGAAGACGACCCAGCCACTGGGGAGCTGACCGCCGTCATCCGCCGCCGCACTAGAACACTTTTCGACCGCCAAAAAAGGTAAAAATTTTTTTTTTTGCACAAAATTCAATTTTAAGCTCACCCATGGCCAAACTGAGTGAAAGGACCGACCAATTGACCGAAAAATACCGACAAAGTCTGGCGCCGCCGCCACGAGGAATTTCACAAATCGCCTCCGATGAGGCCCTTATTGATTTCTGTTTCGCATATTTTTTCCACCATTGTGATCACC